TGTTGAGTATGGTATTTATTTACTCTCGTTAGTAAATTTTCAAAAGTCACAGAAGGACACTCGCTAAAGCTCGTGTCTTTTGTAACTCTTGAAAATTAACTGACTCGAGTGAAATAAATACCATGTTCAACAACCACTCGTTGTGTAACCTCTATATATACTCAGTACAAACACTATAGTATAGTATATATGTGTCTGGTTAAAGGATTTTAAAAGGGGATGGCCGGGGTAGCTTTTGGAAGTGATCTCTTCTGTGTTGTAGTCCTTACGCCAAAGGGACATGAGTCACTTTTAAAAAATGACAACCGCAAAGTTTGGTGAGCAAGACGTCAGGTCGTCTGAGCATTTTATCTGAACAGGACAATAAAAGGAACAAGTATGACAGGGATTAAAATGTCTCGCTCAGCGAGCGACTGAGTACCAAATCACCTGACGCGTACTGTATGTAGCTCTTGTTCAAATTTGTCATACACATTCAAATATTTTGTAGAATTAGTATACCTATTCGTGTAATCATTCAAATCAGAGACGTACATAAACTTAAATCTATATGGATGTTTTGAAAGTAAAAAAGTCTTTCAAGTTCTCAAATTGATCATGAATAAAAATACACTCTTGTTGCATCAATGGAACGATAATAAGATCTAATATGGTAATTGTCAACTATTTTCTTCTTAATGTGGTTGTCATGGCTGTAGTTTGCAAGAGGTCTGAATGATATCTATGAATGACATCTATATGGTTCGATGTTTAAAGAGTTTTAAAACATATCTGGTGAATCTCACTTTGACTTTCATCTTCTCAAATTTATCATCCACATAAAAATACACTCTTGTTGCATCAATAGGAAGTTTTAACTTTAAGTGACGAGAATAAGATCTTATTTGATAATTGTCAAATATTTTCCTCTTAATGTGGTTATTATGGCTGTGGTTTGGAAAAAATAGGCTGGAAAGGTCTTTGTATCAAGAAATCATTGTTTCTTAAATAGCGTTTGATAGCAGAGACTAATCCATTGGTATTGGGGAAAGTTTGTGTTGGTTTGTTAAATCCAGATACGTTTACAAAGAAATGTTAAATTTTAAGAAAATATATAAACATACACCTCACTATATAGGCAGTTGAAGCTGCATGAATTAGTATTGGCAGTAAGACACAGAAAACGATATTTGATTGATCCTTGAATACATTTACATGACATATACTTGCAAACATATACCACCTACACCCTCCTACATCACCTATACGTCCTACACCACCTATACCCTCCTACATCACCTATACGTCCTATACCACCTATACACTCCTACATCACCTATACGTCCTATAACACTTATACCCTCCTACATCACCTATACGTCCTATACCATCTATACCCTCCTATATCACATATACGTCCTACACCACCTATACCCTCCTACATCACCTATACGTCCTTTACCACATATACCCCCCTACATCACCTATACGTCCTACACCACCTACACCCTCCTACATCACCTATACGTCCTACACCACCAATACCCTCATACATCACATATACGTCCTATACCACCTATACCCTCCTACATCACCTATACGTCCTTTACCACATATACCCCCCTACATCACCTATACGTCCTACGCCACCTATAACCTCATATATCACCTATACGTCCTACACCACCTATACCCTCCTATATCACCTCAACGTCCTATACCACCTATACCCTCCTACATAACCTATACGTCCTATACCACCTATACCCTCCTACATCACCTATACGTCCTATACCACTTATACCCACCTACATCAACTATACGTCCTATACCACCTTTACCCTCCTACATCACCTATACGTCCTACACCACCTATCCCCTCCTACATCACCTATACGTCCTACGCCACCTATAACCTCATATATCACCTATACGTCCTACACCACCTATACCCTCCTACATCACCTATACGTCCTTTACCACCTATACCCTCCTACATCACCTATACGTCCTACGCCACCTATACCCTCATATGTCACCTATACGTCCTACACCACCTATATCCTCCTACATCACCACATATACGTCCTATACCTTCTTTGCCCTCCTGCATCATCTTTACATCCTATACCCCCTTTGCCCTCCAACATCACATTTACTTCCTATTCCACCTATACCCCCCTACATCACCTGTACGTCATATACACTCTTTGTCCTCCTACATCATCTTTACTTCATATACCCCCTTTGCCCTCCTACATCACATTTACTTCCTATTCCACCTATACCCTCCTACATCACCTATACGTCCTACACCACCTATACCATCCTACATTATCTAAACCCTCTTACACGTCCTATACCCTCTTACATCACCCGTATTCTTTCAATGCAACCTATACCCTCCTACATCAACTTTCCCTACTATACCACCATAACACCTCTACATCACCTTTACTTTCTATACCACATATACCCTCCTACATCACATATACTTCCTATAACCACCTATATCCTCCTTCATCACATTAAATAACTATATCCTCCTACATCGCCTTTACTTCCTATACCACATGTACCCTCCTATATCCTATAATCCCTCTTACACCAACTATACCCTCCTACACCAACTATACTTCATATACCGTCCTACGTCACCTTTATTTCCTATACCACATATACCCTCCTACATCATCTATACCCTGTTACGCCAGCTATGCCCTCCTACATCACTATACTTCATATACCGTCCTACGCCACCTTTACTTCCTGTACCACATATACCCTCCTACATCATCTATACACTCTTACACCAGCTATACCCTCCTACATCACTATACTTCATATACCGTCCTACGTCACCTTTACTTCCTGTACCACATATACCCTCCTACATCATCTATACCCTCTTACACCAGCTATACCCTCCTACATCACTATACTTCATATACCGTCCCACGTCACCTTTACTTCCTGAACCACATATACCCTCCTAAATCATCTATACCCTCTTACCCCAGCTATCCCCTCCTCCATCACTATACTTCATATACCGCCCTACGTCAACTTTACTTCCTATACCACATATACCCTCCTACATCATCTATACCCTCTTCTACCACAATACGCTGTGTTATTCCACTCTCAGATCATTGCCACAATCTGTTTTGTTTACGTCGTCTGCTGTCAACATTTGACAAATGTTGGTGACTTTGTGAGGTTATTCAGAAAAGGGGGTTATTAAGGCAATATTAAAAGAAGATGATACTTAAAGATTTGATCGCTAGTTTCAGGCAAAATTGCTACAGACGCTCAATATATATCGTTTCGACGTCACACCGTCGCGTGTCCAGGTCGTGAAACAAAAATAAGATCTGTCACAGTGTCGGAAAATATTTCGTTCTCCAAACGTCCCGTTATCGCTATTTGGACGGTCTGACTATGGCTGAACTTTCGCTATAAATTAAGTTATTATGTTCATTTAATTTATTTCAATATTTTTTTTTTATTATTATTTAATTAATTAATTTGTTTTATTTATTCAATTTAATTATTTATTGATATTCTTTCATTTGTGGCGGTTTTTGCAATTCGTGATTTAACAATAATCACGTTCTTTATTAGTCTTTTCAATATTTTAAATACTTATTTGAATACTCATCGCCATTTTATTAATATTTAAAATTAATAATAATGTGTCTTCTTAATTCAGCTTAAAGAAATACCGAATCTCAATGATTTTCAACGGCGTAATCAAAGTCAATTTATTGTCAATGTTGGCAGGGGCCTTGTTCCTCTCGAACCTCGCAGGCAGCACCCCCGATACATATTGCGTGTCGAGCACAGGACCTACATAATTTAATTCAACGTTTAGACGCACTAATTAAATATCTTCAATCCAGACTACCCTGGTGTCATTACGAAACCATCAGCCCAACAGTGATGGAAATATTTGTAGATTAAGTGTAATTTGATTCATATATTCATATGAACAGAATGATGTAAATATGGAAATTAAATATTTAAAATATACCAATAACTAATTATTTTCTACTTAAAATTTTACTGGCCAATTAAGGTACGTGTATAGACATGCATCCATCAATCAGCACACGACGCAGCCCAAATATTTGAATATAAACAAAAATCATTGCTAAACTTCCGACCGATTATTTCACATATTTATCTATTTTATTTGTATATTCATTTTGTTTTTAATTTGCAAACTTTATTATACATATAACTATTTTTTTCATATAAAAACATTTAAGCTCTCACATATTCTTAAATTACCTGCACATCGATTGTTTTCTTACATAACCAGCAAAACGCATGGTCAACGCACATTCATCGCTAAAGTTAAAACGCACAACGAACGGTCAACGCAAACGAAACGCAAACGAAACGCAACGGAAACGCAACGGAAACTCAACGGAAACGGAAACGCAAATGCAACGGAAACGCAACGTCCTTTTGGTAAAGAAAAACGATTCAGGGTCTGTAATACATATATTCTACAAGGATATGCCTTGGAGTCTGGCATATTCCCTTGGATCTCATTTTGAGAATATTTTACCATTATTGCTTAGATATCCAGGGGGCGATACAGGCCCTCTGTGCCTCTTGTTTATAGCATGTCAGCTAACCACTCTAAGAATGATGCAGATCTTATTTCAATGTAAGAAAGTATATAACACTATATGGCATTCGACGAGCGTATATTGTTCCGCCCCGCGGTACTCTTGTTAAACAGTTACAAAGTGCCTGTGGTATTATGCGATGGCACAGGGTCACCTTTTGATATATTTAAGGCTATCCCTATCCAAATTGCAAGACCTTGATCCTATGAAAGATTAAGAAAACTCGCAAACAATTGACGTAGTTTTTTTGGGTTTTGACCCCCTGAATAGCGGGTCTTCGAAACAATAAAGAGTCGTTGGACAAAAAGTGAAAAGTAGAATTGACCATTATTAGCCACAATGAAACATTGAAATTCTCCATTGGCTAGAAAATGTCTTTACCCAGTCTTTGGACTGCTTCCTCCATCGTTATGGCGCCCTTGTAGGGATTGAAGAGAAATTTGTATGTCAGGGCCGCCAACGATCCGCCGATAAGTGGCCCTACCCAGTACACCTGAAACAATTCATTACTGTATTTACGGAAGTGTCACCATAGTATTCGTATTCGTCAAGAAAACCTCGACTCGACCATGTTTCATTATAACCTTACCGTAATTCTACCAACATACACTAATGCATAGCCGACGCAATTTATTGTTATTCTGTAGAGCGGAACATAATTTATGATATAATTGCGATACGCATGACAAATTAAAGATGATTCATAACAAAGAATGCTGTTTTCCTTGTTGAAGGTATGTAAGAATCACATCGACATTGTTTTGTTAGTTGTCACAAAATGTACTGGATAAAAAGACAATCGCAAATATTCCACCAACAACGATATTGTATTTAACAAATAGTATGTCTGTGTTGCCTCTTCCGTGGTGAAAATGAAACTTACCCACTGATCAGTGAAGTTGTTAGAAGCAATGGCACTCCCTAACGATCTAGATGGATTCATACTGGCTCCTGTAAAGTGAATCTGAAATAAAATATAAGTATTCAAAATATCAAGCATGTAAGTGGAGGTTTGGTGAAAGAATGAACATGTTCCACATTGCAAGATTGTATTTGGTTTACTTACAGGGCGAGGGGCAAATTTGTGATTTCTTCTGATTGATCGGCCAACTGTATTCCGTCTTTGCGTATTGCAGAGTTATCTTCTCTTGTGAGCAGGTATTGATTGTTACGTCATTGGTTTGTGAGAGTAACGTTATCAATTTTTGAGAAAACGACGTAATTTTCTCACGCAAACCATTGACGTAACAATCAATACCTGCTCACAAGATAAGATAACTCTGCAATACACGAAGACAGAATTTCAAACCTTCAAACCTCTATTTATTTTCTGCTACATTTTTTATTTTCACGGTGTTTTCCTGGGCACTTATGTTCATATAAGCTTATATGTAAGAAGGCTGTTGAACCCCGAACCAAACATCTTATTAAACACTCTTTAATTTAAAAAATATAGTCTATAGTTGATTCACACTTTGAAACATTTAATCACAGACAACGTATTGTAAGGCTTTGTTTGACATTGGTTTCAATTCCAAAGCCTTTCTTAGATTAAAGTTATGTTTCTGCATCCTTATTTATATGAGCCGAAAATGTTTAGCATGCAATATTGTCAATTTAAATAAAAAGGCGTGTTGTTGATGAAATAAAAGTCAGCAATAAACAGATGACATATATTATTCAATGTTTTCTATCGACAAACAATGTATTTAAAACAGTACATCACACCTAACATGTATGTCCTAGAAACAGGGCCATTCAAACCCCTTGCAAAAGACGAGTCGCTATATTTGAACTATTAGCCCGTGTTCTAGAACCGGCATAATTGCCTCTGTCAGATTGCAGGTTGCAACATTTCGAGCTTACTATCTTTCCTGAAACCAATATACTTGCCCCTGACAGATGGAGAGTTGCTACAGTAAGGCCTATCTTCACAGATACGCTACCGAAGTCCACGCGGTTTGAGTCCGTGGTGGCGATTATTGTGTAGACAAGTGTAAAGGTAAGTATTATTTCCACTCCAACACCTTGACCAGTGGTTATGTTACTGTCCAGCTGTGTAAGGCCGAGGTTACTATGTACAGCGTCAGGTGATACACTACAAATGATAATAAGCATAAGTTAGATTCGTTTTAATGTTAAATCGTCTATGATAACCTATTCTCCGGGAGTTACATCCCTTTACTCAAGTGAAACCTCACTGACTTATATGATCCCCGTTGTCAAAAAACCTAAATCACGCATCGGAAACGGTTTTCCGGCATGGTTATAACTTTGATAAATGATTTCTGCAAGAAATACCTACTTTGCAGAATTCAAACGAAACTTATTAAGAGGAAATACACAAACTATAATAACAACAGTGTTCTGAGAAAAAAATCAGCGAGGCTAAACAGAGATTCGAACCCTTAGATTGATATACAATGTACTATCTCTTTAATCGACAGAGGACCATGTACCTTGCATGTGTTCTGTTACAGTTCTATACAATCATTAATATACTGTGCAGAGGGACAGGGGTCCTTAGAGGTATTGAATGAGCATGTAGTTGGTAAGGGTTTTCTCATATTCTGACATTGCCAATGTGAATATTTCATTTTTGTTTCATATCCAACGGTGTAATCTCTGGAGTTGTGTCTTGCGATTCTGAATAGGGTTTGATTAAAACTGAATAACCCGTGTACTGCGTAATGAATGTCAATATGTAACAATACCAATAATAATAGTTATTATAATTATTATTACTAGATTTTGAACGGCCCATCAACACAGAAGAGGTCATTAGGGCTAATAAAAGTAGACAAAGCATGTTAACGGAAACATCAAATGAACGAAAAGGTTATACACTAACGTCAACATGAATAAATTGTACATATGTTAAAATGGCTATGATTTAGTTGTATCTTTGTGAACAGAACAACAGTGTTAAGGTAGGTTAGAATTGTAGAGGTACTGACTTTTTCGAAAAATGATTCGATATATGTTACATTATTATAAAGAAAATCTTGTTGTTAGATTACATTGACCTTCAGTCAACAATAGCTATTCCGTCTTTGCGTATTGCAGAGTTATCTTCTCTTGGGAGCAGGTATTGATTGTTACGTCATTGTTTTGTGAGAGTAACGTCTTCAATTTTTTGAGAAAACGACGTAATTTTCTCACACAAACCAATGACTTAACAATCAATACCTGCTCCCAAGAGAAGATAACTCTGCAATACGCAAAGACGGAATAAACCGAATGCACTAAATACCTGAAACACTAGTACTGCACACAAGGAATTTGTTATGTACATGTAGTCAAACTATCGCCCTTCGCCCATGATATCCTATTTACTTTGTTAGTTTTGCCTTCCGGATTAAATGACAATGTTTATTATGCTGTTTCGCCTTTATTACGGAGGGCGAAAATGTGAAAATGAAACTGCAACAAAAAATTCCGGTACACAATATTTTATCCTAATTTAACCTATTTATTGATTGAAATCCAGTATATTCACACATATAATGTACAATATTTAAATCTAGAGAAACTGAATATCAACATTTTCTCAATGAACCTAAAGACGTCATCAACAACACTCTCTCTTTTAATATAAATTTTAACAGAATATATGTTTTGTCTTACATTTTTATTTATTTAGAATGTTTTTCATTTTTCATTTCGGTACAACAAAAAATAGTATTAATATATATTGAATGTTTAAAATATTGCAATAATTCATGTAAGAATGCTAAAACCATTAAAGATCAATTTGTACATACACAGACCTCTATACAAGTCTATAGCGTTTACACGAATTGTGCATTTTACAAACAGAAAACGTTTTACAAATTTTAATTCCAAGTTGTTTTTGACATGTTGAAAGCCATTTGAGTTTCTTTTTGGGGCTTTTGGCCGAAAACGACCTTCTTGTGTCTTGAGGCCGTTCAACCTGAACAAGCCTTCACACTGTAAAATGTAGCGTCCGTGACGGAATTTAGCAATCTGTGTACATGATAACAAATGGATTCATCGGGTATATCCTTTTTCAGAATCACGAAAAGAAACTTTATGCATCTATAAAATAATGTCTACACCGCTAGTCCATTTCAGTGGAAGGACCGAAAGGGTAGCGATAGAGTGGTCCAGTCATTTGTGTATACCACTTTAATCTCAACTTCATAATAAAAAAAATGTATATATCTATACAAAATGTATTTTAAGGACATCAGTGATCAATATTTATCTTTTCAATTTATCTAAATTGCGTATTTACATTTTACTTTACACTCGAGTTAACATTCGCAAACGCACCCTATCGAGCGACGATGACACCAATTGATATACACATCTGTAAAACAAGCAAGTTAAGGAGGTCAGACCGTTCGTGGATTTAAGTGCACTTTCACATTTATGTTTATTGGGGGTTTTAAATACATATTTTAAGTCACAATGTTTAGGTGTAGGAAAGACAAACTCATTGGTTTAATTCTTTTTTAGAAATGTTTACAATATTTTATGTTTATAATAACAGCCTCAATACATAGCATGTCACGAACCATTACAGTAAAGCACTTTATATCAGATTTCATTGACCTTCAGCCACCAGAGAATGTTTATATAAATAATATAACAGATCTCAAATTTCTTTTCGAAACAGTCAATATCTCAATAATACCTATCTACATAAAAACTGTGTTGTTCTGTTTAAATAGATATATTTAACCACAGCCATTTTTCTTTTCAAATTTACGTCTGTCTTTTACCTTTTCGTTCGTTTCATGCCATTTCCTCTAAATGTGATATTCACTTTCTATTGGCCCTAATGACCTCTTTCGTAATGATCTGCTTAATAAAATAATCAAAATAACTCTGAGCTGTTTACTAGAGCTATTTATCATAGCCGACAATTAGAAATATAACCGTAATGTCCTACTCAAATATAGTATGTCTCTATAACGCTTTTATATGGCCGTTGATGGTCAATTGTCTGTATCAATTTGCCATTGTTCTTCGTATCACTATTATTGTTCAAAGGTAGCAACCCCTGCACAAACAAATAAACCTATCCTTGACACACCTACAGTGTACCAACCATCCACCATATGGCCCTTTATGACATTGTGCCGATAGGCTGTTAACGCCATAACTGAGAATAATTCAGAGATACAGAGGTTAAGACGCCCAACATACCCCGTCTCCAGCACACATACATACATCCACGCATCCACAACATACCCCGTCTCCAGCACACATACATATCTACACGCATCCACAACATACCCCGACTCCAGTACACATACATATATACACGCATTCACAACATACCCCGTCTCCAGTACACATACACACATACACGCATCCACAACATACCCCGCCTCCAGCACACATACATACATACACGCACCCACAACATACCCCGTCTCCAGTACACACACATATATACACGCATCCACAACATACCCCGGCTCCAGTACACATACATACATACACGCATCTACAACATCCCCCGTCTCCAGTACACATACATATCTACACGCATCCACAACATACCCCGACTCCAAAACACATACATATATACACGCATCCACAACATACCCCGGCTCCAGCACACATACATACATACACGCACCCACAACATACCCCGTCTCCAGGACACATACATACATACACGCATCCACAAAATACCCCGTCTCCAGCACACATACATATATACACGCATCCACAACATGCCCCGTCTCCAGTACACATACATATCTACACGCATCCACAACATACACCGTCTCCAGTACACATACATATATACACGCATTCACAACATACCCCGTCTCCAGTACACATATATACATACACGCATCCACAACATACCCCTTCTCCAGTACACATACATATATACACGCATCCCCAACATACCCCGTCTCCAGCACACATACATACAACCACTCTTCCACAACATGCCCCGTCTCCAGCACACATACATACATCCACGCATCCACAACATACCCCGGCTCCAGCACACATACATACATACACGCATCCACAATATACCCCGTCTCCAGCACACATACATATATACACGCATCCACAACATACACCGTCTCCAGCACACATACATACATACACGCATCCACAACATTCCCCGTCTCCAGTACACATCCATACATACACGCATCCACAACATACCCCGCCTCCAGCACACATACATACATACCCGCATCCACAACATACCCCGTCTCCAGTACACGTACATACATACATACACGCATCCACAATATACCCCGTCTCCAGCACACATACATACAACCACTCTTCCACAACATGCCCCGTCTCCAGCACACATACATACATCCACGCATCCACAACATACCCCGGCTCCAGCACACATACATACATACACGCACCCACAACATACCCCGTCTCCAGGACACATACATACATACACGCATCTACAACATACCCCGTCTCCAGTACACATATATACATACACGCATCCACAACATACCCCGACTCCAGTACACATACATATATACACGCATTCACAACATACCCCCTCTCCAGTACACATACATATATACACGCATCCCCAACATACCCCGTCTCCAGCACACATACATATCTACACGCATCCACAAAATACCCCGTCTCCAGCACACATACATATCTACACGCATCCACAACATACACCGTCTCCAGCACACATACATACATACAAGCATACACAACATAACCCGTCTCCAGTACACATACATACATACCCGCATCCACAACATGCCCCGTCTCCAGTACACATACATATATAGACGCATCCACAACATACCCCGTCTCCATTACACATACATACATACACGCATCCACAAAATACCCCGTCTCCAGCACACATACATACAGCCACGCATCCACAACATTCCCCGTCTCCAGTACACATACATACATACACGCATCCACAACATACACGGAGGCAAACCCTAAATAACCTAAGCTGTTCATTGGACGTTTTACAAAATTAAACTAAACCAAACGTATAATTAGGGTCGGTTTATCTCAATAAAATGTCCTTTGTAGTTTGGACTTCGAGATGCCGTTCAGATAATTAAGACATTCTTATAAAGGTATGTGTTTTATATACAAATTGTATAGAAAATGTTTGAAAAAAACACCTACTGCCGTGTTTACCTCTTTTGGATCAATGTTTACACGTTACTAAGCAGCTAGTTGTTGGTGACGTCGATTTGTTTGTCCGGGTAAGTTTACCTACTCACCCTTTCAGTATGAATCCTCCAATGATGGCGCCACCTGTCTGTGCCAGAGTATACATGAGAGCCCGAACAGGAGTGATGATATTTCCCACCGCCATACCGACAGAAACGGCGGGATTAAAATGGCCCCCAGACACGTGACCGAACATCTGTATCATAGCCATGATACTGAGGCCGAAGGCGAAGGAAATCTGAAATTAAAAAGGCGAGAATATGCTTTAATTTATTTTAACATATTGTTACTTAGAACATTTTAGTTCAGTTTTGATGTTCTCCTTAACGTTCGATCCGTTTTTACAGTGTTGTTTGGTCTAATGTAACTTAAATTGTGGATAAGCTGCAAAAAAATCGCATTCAAAACGAAAGTGTTGTTGTTGTTTTTTTTATTAATAATCGATGTTATAGAACTCGTAGGAATAATTAAATCAGGATGACAGAACTGGTCTGCAAAGTCTTTTAAATAATTACGCCTCACTATATCGTACAAATATAGAAAATATGTTACATGTGTATATCGTCGTAGCAGTAATACAGTAAAATATGATAGCCAATGAGTTTATTTTGTATAGAAGCCAGACTCTACAACATAAAATGCCAATAAACAAATCAAAAAGAAATTAATATTTTGGCGGGAAATGGCATTCGTTGGAGTACTCTCGTTAACAACTCCCATCCCTTTTCTTTAGTCGGTGGCTTAGATACCCGTCTGTGCATGACCTTGCAAAGACATTAAATCTCAAACAAACATAAAAGATAAACAAAGTCAAGGTGGAATACATAGCTACATCGGATAACACCCATCCTCGATATCCAGGGGTTACGCTAACTTTCGCTCTCTGCACCCCTGGAACATGTTATAGCAAACGCGAAGGCTCAGTGTGCGCCACACTTGGGGATGACACGAGAAAACTTGTTTGATCCTTTAATGTACATCAAAAGAATCTAGCGGTCGCGTAACGGTAAAACATACTGGTTTTGAAGTCGGGCGTCGCTCATTTGTAATATTCAAAGGACATGTATCAGCCTAGTGATTGGTTAGTTGTTTTTTACCTGACACCAATCAAAAAGCTAGCAGCGTGCCTTCAATTTTGCTATGACATATTTCAGGGGTGTAGAGACCGAATGTGAGCGTAACCCCTTGAAAACGAGGATGGATAATACCAAGTTTGGGAGTTTATTTGTTACGAAATCTTGATTACTGCTATATTTACCGTGAATAAGTCATCAAATTTCCGAGTATGCGATGGTCGAGAAAAAGTCCGCATTACATAGGTATTTAAATATGGAAATTATAACTTCGGACGTCGAGTTTCTGCTAATCAATGTCACAAATTGAGAAATTGTATGTCTTGCAATTCTTGGAGCGTGTCGATGTCATATAATGGTTTGGGTAAGATTAGCCTCAACCCTGTCTGAAGCGTATTTGTATAACTGGCATCATTTTAAATACGGACAAAGATTGGTTTCTGCATTCTTTTTTTTATTAAGGGACATTAAAAAACTAAGGAAAAACAAGAGATTACCGAATTGGCTACAAAACAATCTCAAACTCAAAACTAATAAAACTAGGGTAAAATATGAACAAAGGAACTATTTACATTAATACCTTTGACAAGAAAATGCAGCAAAGCTGCTGGACACCAAACCATTTTATGAAAATGACTTACTGACAGTCCACCAACCACGAGGGAACGGATCCTGCATACTTTAATCTATTTAATTATAATCATATAAATTGTAAATGGCATTAATTGTGTTGTTCAGAATATTCAGTTCACGCTCAATATCTAGTTGTAACCGCACGTTTTGGGTCAAATGTCAATGATTTGGTAATAATGACATCTTCTAAGAGAGAGAGAGAGAAGCCGGGGACATAAGACGATTTACATAAACTATCATTTACAACTTTTGTCAAATTTGCAGCAATTTTTGCATATATAATTATTTTGACAATGTCCCTATTTGACTATTTTGGATAAAATATCAACCATTTTCTAGGATAAAGGGTCAATCGTAGCCCCGCCCCCCCCTGTCCCTTTAAATAATAGTTATTAATTCTCGAGACTGCAACGAAGACATATTTTGACAACGCTGGTTTTTTGGTTGTTACCTTTTCAGGCGCTTTCAGGGGTTTAGGGGGATAAGGTATCCTCGCCTATTTCATATTACAAGTGAAATAAATATAGCGTATTGAACGGGAAAACCATGAAATTTTCTATTTCTTACATTTCTTTCACGTTTCGCGGCGCAAATATTGCTACATGTATCAGAAAAGCGCGGGAATGTATAACGTAGTTTTTGACGCCAAATTATAATGACGTCATGCTTGACAACAATACAAAGCGCCACTTTGAATGGGTTTTCACTGCAATTTTGCCGTTTGCTAGTATATCTGGTAAGATTTCCAGACAAAAAGGATATTAATTGTGTAGTTATGTAAAAACAACAATGTATGCTGCAAAGGTAAACAGCTCAACCACTTATACTGCCGTCACTTCATCTAAACTTGAAACTGAAAATCTACGCAGAAATATAATGTACCGTTCAGATTGGACAATACTTACAGAGTGAAGTTTTTACTTGTGAAGATATAATGTTTCGTTTATCTTCACTGCATTAAATATATGTTTTTATTAAATAGAGAATTCATGATATTTTACAAGTAAACTGCAATCAATACCGATACGGTAGGGTTTACCAACATATTTTTGTAGACAGTATGCGGCCTTAATTTCCCAGAAGGCTTTCACGCATGGGGAAGCACGGGAAGTGGACAAAGTGTTTACAGATCAAACCCCGGCGGCGCTTTGCGCCGCTTGGGGGTTTGAAAAAACAGAAAAAGAAAACAAATCCCATGTGTTCCGGAAGGGTAAGCGTCTTCTGCTTCATCGATTACGGCCGGCATGAAAATCTTAAGAGGCATCCAAGTTATGCCACGTCCACACATCGACAGCTTTGGTAGTTGCAGCAATTTAATGAACATGATCAAAATGTTGGACCTTCATATCAAACAATGGTATAGCATATTGCGAGATCCTAATGATTTGTGGTAATTCAATAAATGGGATCGATCTGTATTCGTACTGTATTTATTGAAAACATGGATCGTGATCTGAGTTTCGTGCAGAAGGCATTTCAATCTACTTGGAACGTCAAGTGGAAGATCATCAAATGAATATATATCTGAAGGAGCAATGATGCAAATTAAACAGACAATCTCCTTTGTAGCAGAATATATCTAGGTCAGGGTGTGTTCGCAAAGTTACAGAATGTAAATGTATCAGGCGTTTATATAAAGGGCCGATCAGTAGAACTGTTGTTATTGTTACTAAAAACAAACAAAAGCACGTTCTTATTATGTATGTCAAAACACGCATCGTAATCGAATTTAAATAAGCGATATGGTTATCTTCTAATGATTAATATGGCTTTACACTGACATCTGTTTTGTTTTGTTCGATCCTTGCTTTGCAATGTCATAATATACACTCTGATATTAGAATTAATCAGTTTTGGCCGAAAATCTCCATCGAAGACAGATTTTTTATTAATAGAATTAGGTTGAATATCTACGTGATGGAACCGTAATGGACTTTAATTAAAACCGTGTTCTTGATTATAACAAGCCTGCACATCGTAACCAGAATATCAAAAAACTTGTTAGCTTGATCACATTAAAATATCTTATCTGCAAATTTTGTTTTTATAATTTTGTTTTCAATAAAAGGGCAATTTTTGTATTGACTCATTATGTTGACAACAGCAGATTTTTAACGTGGAATTTCAATGTTTGTTTATATACTTCCATGTGTAGTAGATATCAATGGAAATGTATATATGACAGCTGTAGTAAAGCTAACAATTCTTTGTATGAGTGTCCACTAATTCGGCGACACATCTAATTTCAGGCGTTTATCATCAGAATGATCAATTGATTTTCCTTTCGGTGATGGGTTTATTCCATCGTTGGGTCTATAAATGAGCTTTATTTGTCCTATTTTTCCAGTAGGTTCTGCCTATAAATCAACTAATTAATGTAACCAAGTCACGATTGGTAACGTTGCTAAGACAATATAAATACAGAACTAAGATTATCAGTGCAAGTGTTACTAGCTTGATGAAAAAGGAATAAGCACTTATTATAATTAGACTTAGAAACATATACTGTGTGACTTGATATGACCTCATGCAATTAAAAACTCAAGTTTTACCTGAATGTGTTGGAATTTGCCAATGGGATAACGCGGGTTGATAAGGCTGAGTGCATGCATATAAATCGATAACTAAGAATTCAGTTGTACGGGTGTGGTGTGACAAGTTAACAGATAAGATCACTATTGGAAATGAACACAACCTACACAGAATCAGTATCTACTCAAATACACTCTTAGATCTATAGAGTAGGTCGTATCGACTGTAGTCCTAATTAAAAGAGCAATAACTATTAATGTTTAGACAATATGTATTGGATCAATATCACTTACATGATGAACGTATGACTACAGGTTAAATGAGGAGAGATGTACAGAAAATAAACGTTCATTTAGAAATGCAACATTAATGCCCCGGTTGCTACACGTTGGATATTATTATAAGTGGTTAGGGGAAATATAAAATATGAATACAAATCAAGAACAGCTGATATCATTTCACTGATACAGGTTTTTGAGACAAATAAGACTAATGTATTTTGAGAATTTAATATATTTCAAAAAATCTTGCTTTTTCTCGACAACAATTTAAAGTTTTAACTAACAACTGGCTAAAGCTAACCAATCCTTTAGCATCCGGGGACAGATGGGCCAGTTGTAGGATTTAAAACTTCCATATTGATATCTTAATTGGATATGGTTTGAGTTTGCAATTCGTATGTTTAATTTTGTATGTTTGCTTTAAACGTCCTCGGAACAACGGGTGTTCAATATAAAGGGACAGTTCTCTGAAACGTTATTGCATTCAGTTACATTATACTGTCATCAGGCTAACCGGTCATTTCTGCCACCCAGTGAATGCTTAACGTCAAGCGGTAAGGTAAATCTGTCATTAACGTTATACTTATATGCCCCCTTTTCCACTTTCTTACTTTCCTACTTTTTCCTTTCGGTGTTGTCTTCCTAGGCATCCTTCAAGTATGTGACCTCGGGTTTTGCAAAGACGTAAATCCCCTCCCTCCCCCTCACCAAAGTTGCTA